GGGGGGGGGGGGGGGGGGGTCAGGACAGGGCTGTGTGTTGGAGGTGGGCGCCCCCCCCTCACCAGCTTGGGCAGGCTCCTCCTGGAGAAGATGCGGCGCGGGCAGCAGAGGTGCAGGTGGCCGGAGCACCAGCTGCGCATGTTGAGCCACTCGACCGTGCGGGATGGCGCCGGGCCCTCCTCCCGGTGCAGCAGGATCAGCTGCTTCTGGGCGCGCACCGCCGTGCTCTCCAGCATCCGCTCCAGCTGCAGGAAAGCAGAGCCTGTGGTCGGGCCGCCTGGGGCCCGAGGACTTGGGCAGGACGGAGCTGAAGGCCAGCTGGGGCTGTCTGCTGAGGTTCCACACTGGACGCCGTCTGGCCCAGCAGCCCAGGGCAGGGCCTTGGGGGCGGCTCCCTGATTCTGTCACCCAGCTCGGCTGTGCAGCACTCATGTCCCCCACCGTGAGGCTGAGCCCGTGAGCCTGCTGTGCACTTGACTCGGGGAGCACGGCCAGAAGGCAGGCACGGCCAGAAGGCAGGGCCATCGCTCTAACACTGCCTCTCGACACATACACCCAGACCTCCTCAATAAATGAATTTTGCAAACGCTCTTCCTTGCATCACAGAGGAGGGGTTTTTAGCTGCTCCAGGATCAGAGCGGCAAAAGGTCGTGAGAACAGTCACGGACAGGGGAAGGAGGAGGGGAATGCCACCCAAAGGGATGACCAGGCCCCACTGCATACCTATGGAGCTAGAAACACATAGGACAGTGGTGGTGAGAAGGGGTGCGGGGCAGGGGATGCGGGGCACCAGGCCTCCCCGGCAGCAACCACACAAGTGAAAACCGAGTGAACACAGCACCTAACGCAGGAGGCATCCTGTGCCCACGTGCTCTGTGATGCAGTGACCCTTCCAAGTGGGCGCCCTGAAGACACCCCACAGGCAGCCTGCTAAGTTCAGGGCCTGAGAGCAGCTAATGGGGTGGGGGTGGGAGGGAAACTCACAGACAGGAAACTAAACAGTCACAAAAACGAGTGAAGTGTTGTTGAAAAAAAGGAAATTTCAAAATGGTAAAAACTAGGACACTTTTTACATAAAATTTAAACCTGTAAAGCAGTGCTGTACTGAAAGTGTGAAACTTTCACACAGAGGCTCCAACTTCACAAGAGGACACGGAGGGGGTTGCCCTGCTTTGTGCTAAAACCACTGCCTAAGGTAAATACAGCAAAATGTTTTCAAAATGTGGACAGCAGGTAATCTGGGTGTTAGCTCTAACGATCTGTTCTTTCCTGCGTTCTTGAGATATTTCATCCAAAGGAAAAGAAAAACAGGGATGTGAAGAAGAGAGTGGCCACCCCAGCCAGGACCTGCCCACCTGCAGCCCTGAGACCCTGTCCCACCGCCCCGCCCCACTCGCTGAAGCCCCGCCCATCACACCCCACCAGCCGCAGCCCCGCCCACCACCCAGCCCCACCGCTGAAAGCTCCACCCTCAGCCCGCCCCCCCCTCCGCCCGCCCACCTGCTGAAGCCCTGCCCACTGCTAGGTCCCCCTCAACCCTGCCCCCTCAAAGCACCTCGCCCACTGTGGGCTCCTGCTCGCCCAGGCCCACGATGAGGATGCAGTCGGCCTGCCGGATGCAGCGCTGGGTCCAGGGCGTGAGCGTGCTGTCCGCCTGGTAGAGCACAATCCGGTGGATGTCCTCCTGTTGCCCCAACCAGCTGCACAGCCGGTACTCGTGGATGCTGGAAGGCACGGACAGAAGGTGCAGATGGGGGTGCAGACGGGGGTACAGACAGGGATATGCGAACAGGGGTGCAGACATGGGTGCAGATGGGGAGTGCGGATGGGGGGGTGCAGACATGGGGTGCAGACTGGGGGTGGGGGCTGTAGATGGGTATGCAGACAGGGGAGGCACAGACAAGGGGGTGCAGACTCCAGGGCACATTTCAAGGCTGTGTTTGGAGCCGCGGAGGGCAGGAAACCAGGCTGTTTCCCACGTGGAGCCAGCACACCTGTCCAGGGCAGCAGAGCCAAGGCGCTGTTTTATGTTGTCACTGGTCAACAGCAGGATGGGGCCTGAAAACAGAACCACCAGTTATGAAAAACTGTCCTGGCAAGCCACCTCCCGGGACAGCGAGGCCACAGGAGCAGCCTCGAGGCAGAGGACGAGAGCGCCCACTCCCTGTCCTATTAGTCTGCTCTTCCCAAAAGCCACGAGAAGCCTTTCACCTTTGAATAAGGAAGTGCCTGTGGCCAGAGGTGACCATTCCCCCGGCCCTGAAGGGGGGCCTCTGCGCAGGTGAGTCACAGGGTGTAGAGTGGGTGCTGAGCCCCCTGAGCTGGGAGGACTGCACAAGCTCAGCAGCTCCCCAGGTAAGTACAGGGATGGGGCCCTCTCTGAACCTTGGTCTCCTCATCTACACACACAGGAGCTGAGTCTTTGCAGCACTGAGACTGTATCGGGGGCAGGGGAATCAAAGCTTGTAAAATGCCAGATAATGTAAATGCCCAAATCCAGGTCAGCGAGGCTGGCTGGAGTCCCGTGTCATGTGGTTCACCAGGCTTGAGATGCACCACTTGTGTCTCTGAAATCAGCAAGCTTCTTCTGTCTATGGTGTCTTAGAGCCACTGTCCACATAGAGGTGTCAGGGCCAGCTCCACCAGGAGGGCCAGCATCAGAACCTGCGGAAAGGCCGCTGGGGGCTCGGAACAGAAGCCTAGACAGAACATGCAGTCTGAGAAGGGCCGCCAGCCGAGGACTGGCCCCGAAGCCCCATGCTGCAGCAGGAGGAGCATGGGGGTGCTGAGGGCTTCCTTCTCACACCAGCCCTTTACTTGACCTTCCCCAGGGGCGCCTGATTAAAAGGTGGGAGACACTGTTTTAACTGGAAGCATTTGCTTTCTCAAAGGCACCCATATAAAGGTGCACCTACAACGGTGGTGTCCCCCTGAGGTGCGGCGCTCTGGCCTGACCTGTGTGCACACATAGCTCTTACATGGCAGAAACCTGTTGAGGTGGTGGGGATTAGGGTGAAGGGCGCCAGTCCAGTCAGGGGGCTGCAGTGCTGCTCTAGGGGTCAGGCTGTGCTGGGAGGAGCTACAAGCTCAAGTCGGTCACCCGCACAGGTCGGGACCTCTCAGGGCTGGACTGCCTCACACACCTGTGAGGGACAGGCAGTGATACGTCCTGTCCACCTTTTGGATTTTCAGGATGTGACGGGATGGGCAGACCATGTCTGGCTGCAGGAGTACTGAGGAGCCCAGCCCTGACGCCCTTAGGGGACCCCTGCTGGGCTCTACCTGCCCCTCGGTACCTATCTTCTGCTCTAGGCCTCCATGTCTGGACTCGGGGGCTCTGATGGGGCCCTCAGGGAAGTGTGGAGCCCCCCAAAAGTAGTGCTCTGGTCCCTATGGCATGGGCTACAGCTCCTGTCAATCAGAAATGTGGTGACCAACCCCATCATAGTGGGGTGTGCGGAAGCCCAGGTGGTGGGCGGACCCCGGGCAGGGAGCAGACACAGGATGACTCATGGGCTCTGTGGGGCGCAGCTGAAGCAGGCAGCCGCTGCCAGCCTGGCTGCCAAACAGCTTCTTCCCTGCCCCCCTGGAAGCTGGAGGAAACGGAAAGACACCTTCAAAGTGCTAGAAGAAAATGGCTATTCAGCCTATAATCTTCCCTCAGCAGAAACGCCCCTCAGAAGTAAAGGCGACCTACATAAATAGGGTCACCTGACTTGCGGCAAAGGTGTCCTAGCAATGCAGAGGGCAGAGCTGGTTCTTTCTAAGTGAGGGTCTGGGTCACCTGAAGATCCCAATAGATGAAATGAATCTTGATTCTATCTCATATCATAACCAAAATCAATGCCAAATGTACTGTGAACTTGAAAGGTGAAACCATAAAGTTTTTAGAAGGACACCTTCATAATTTGGGGGCAGGTGAAATTTCTTCGGTAAAATGTAAAAATCAGTAACAATATAGGAAAAAACTGATAGACTGGTCTACATTAGAATTCAGAACTTCTGTTTGTCAAAAGATACCACGAAAAGAATAAAAAAGCAAGTCAGAGAGAGGGAAAGGTATCTGCAACATTTGCATCCAAAACAGGAACTACATCCAGGTTACAGAGAGAACTCTGTCCATCAACAAGGGAAAGATGGCAACCCAATGAAAGGGGTGGGTAACTTGACAGGAACTTAGGGCGTCCCAATGGCCAATAAACAAATGAACTTCTTACTTCCTGGGAAATGTAAATTAAAGCCATAGCGAGATACCACCACACACTCACCAAAATGCGTAAGAGGAAAGACCAGCCACACGACAGCAGCAGAACACACATCCTCCTCAAGTGCACACAGGACACTCTCCAGGACAGACTATAGAGTGGGCCACAAAACAAGCCTTAATGAACTTCAAAAGACTCAAATCATACCAAGTATCTTTCCAGATCACAGTGGTATGAAACTAGAAATCAACAACAGAGGGAAAACTGGAAAATTCACAAATACATGGAAATTAAACAACACACATTTAAACAACCAGTGGGTCAAAGAAGAAGTCACAGGGAAATCAGCAAATACCTTGAGACAAATGAAAATGAAGACACAACATTCCAAAACTTAAGGGAGGCAGCAAAAGGAGTACTAAGAGGGAACTTTATAGCTATAAATATGTGCATTTTTTTTTTAATTTTAAAAATTTTTATTGGGGGAATGGGGGGATGGGAACAGCGCTGCGGAATTGGGGGAAGGGGAACAGACAAGTTGCTGTCGTTTTGTTCTTCAGTCTAGTTGTGGAGGACGTTGCTTCACTGGCCCAAGTTGGCACCATCATTGCGCTCTTCCCAGGCGAGGCAGATCAGTCGCCGGCTTCTGGACGACCGCTCACAGCGGCTGCTGGCCGCTCACACTGGCTGCTGGCTACACATGGTAGCCCATGGCAACCCAATGCAGCAGGGGCTGCAGCCTACACCGTCGCCGGCGACTCACAGCAGCCCAGCTCCAGGTTGAGCTGTTGTTCAGCATCTTAGCTGTGGAGGGCAGTGTCACTGGCCCTCATATGTGGGATCCGAACCGGGGCCCTCTGGCATCCCAAGCGAGTTCTTAACCATCGCGCCACTCGGCCGGCCCAATGTGTGCATTTTTAAAACAGATCTCAGGGAGTATTTTCTCAATCCGTTGAGACTTTGCTTCCTGGCAATTGTCGTCAGTTTGGCTCAAATAAACTCATAAGCTTTCTTTGGATGTTTTTCGTCAACATTACTTGGCGTAGTTGGGCAGGATTCCAAAGAAGCCCACCCAAGAGCATCCTGTGGACCTGGGTTCAGTGCTAGGTACCAGCGGGGGCCCATTGTGCCCCACCAGCTCCCTGCTTCACTTCGGGTGAAACTGGTTGAGTTTTTTTTGGCATTCCGGACCTCCCTGTTTTAAGGTAGGAGGCCATGACTTTACTTGAGCTGTTTTGTTTTATTTATTCATTTATTTATTAAAGATTTTATTGGAGAATTGGGGAAGGGAACAATGTTGGGGAGTTGGGAAGGGGAACATTGTGTTTCTCCGGGACCCATCAGCTCCAAGTCCAGTTGCCGTCCTCAATCTACCTGGGGTGGGGGTGGGGGGGGCGCAGCCCACCATCCCATGTGGGAGTCAAACCAGCAGCCTTGTTGTTAAGAGCATGCGCTTTTACCAACTGAGCCATCTGGCCGCCCGTTGGCAGCTCAGCAGCACCTCAGCTCGGGCGCAGCTCACTGGCCCATGTGAGAATCAAACCAGCAACCCTGTTGCTCAGAGCTCGTGCTCTTAACCAACTGCACCACCTGGCAGACCCTTGAGCTGTTTTTGTTTTTGTTTTTAACCCTTGAGGTGGCATTAAAGGTTAAGGGTTGAGACAACCCAGGTTAAGGACAAGAGTTAAGATAACTCTGAGACAGGAGAAAAAAAATGGGTGGCTGGTTTTAATTTTGGCTTTTCAATTGGAATTGCTTACTGCGAGTATGAACACAAGCTTTTGCTAGATAAATGAGGGTTTGAACTTGTTCAGCTCCAAAGATAAGGGGCGTTTGCTTCCTCCAGCTCGAATTTCGGCTATTCTTAGGTGACTAAGAACGTTTGTGGAGGTGTTTGAGGGTACCCCTCAAAACGTGCAGTGGCCCCATAGGGAATTCCAGCACAACTGTAATTAAATATTGGACTCGTCCGGGGACGCACACATAAAGGCTGGTTACCTAGCGCTCCGAGTCCTCACGGTTGTATTAGACAACAGGGGAGAGAAACCGAGACACGTACCCGTGAGCGGGTTGCAGCGACTCGGGAGGTGACAGCCCCTTGGAGCTCCACCCATAAGCAGCACACTCCAACCCGCTACCTGGTATCCCTAGATATTAGTTCAGACTCTGCAGACCTCAAAAGAAAACTAAAAATTAACATGGGAAATCATGCCTCAAAGGCTGACAACCTCCCAGACTCCAGACCCATTAATACTCCTGCAGATGTAAAGTTCCTAAGAGTCTTGCAAGTACTTACAGACATGGAAGATTTAACTGGAAATAATATCAACTTAAGACGGCCAAAAAGGAGCTCTTTTAACATCTAAATTAATTTTTGTGTGCACAGTTACAAAACGCCAGCTTAAAAAAATCAAACATCGAAATGGGAGGTTTACCTCAACTGGCAAATAGACAGAAGCCTCTGAAATGGTGCAGAGAGATATTCTTCTCTCCAGGAAGTTAGTAAGAAAATTTAGAGGCTGTCTCTGAACTAAAGAAGGTTTCTGAAGCTGCTCAGTGCCAACGCCCACTTTCCCCTCTTCTCCAGCTGCCCCACTGTGTGCTTTACTTGTCTGGCCTTGGTCTCCTTTTTCTTCGCCTCTCTCCTGCTCGTCTGCTGAAGCTCCCTTTGGAGAGGAGCTGGTCTTGGGCGGAGGAGAATCTGCGGTTGTGTGCAGGCAGAGCTAAGGAATCTATTATAGATTCCCCCAACCCTCTCGAGGGCCCCGATGACCTTGCAAAGGAATTTGAATTAAGTGTTAGAACGAACTTATGATCCTGGCTTTTCTGATTTATCCCAATTAATGCACCTACTGGTTTCTGAGAGCAAAGCAACAAAATTATTAAAGGTTTGCTAAGGAAACTCCTGTAGAGGAATCTGCTTTTATTGTAAAAAGCCAAGTCGCCTTAAGGACTGTAGAAAACTGAAATGGGATTTAGAAACAGGAAAGAAGCAGAAGCAAGCACAGGGCTGCTCCAGGGACTATGAGGCATAAAAGAAAAATCTTAAATCAACAGCCTAAATTTATACCTCAGTAACTAGAAAAGAATATCAAACTAAACCCAGAGCTAACAGAAGGAAGGAAAAAGTAAAGATTAGAACAGAGAGTAAATAAAATAGAGGAAAATAACCAATAAAGAAAATAAGTGAAACCAAAGTTGGTTCTTTGAAAGAATCAACAAAATTGACAAACCTTCAGCTAGATGAATAAAAGAAAATGGGAGGTTAAAAATCACGAAAATCAGAAATGATGGGACATTATCGATTGTACAGAAATAAAAAGGAGTATGAACTGTACATCAACAAATCAGATAATCTAGATGAAATGGACAAATTCCTAGAAACACAAGATGTACCAAGACTGAATCATGAAGAAACAGAAAATCTGCGTAGACCTATAAATAGTAAGAAGATTGGATCAGTAATAATAATAATAATACCAATAAAGAAAAACCATGCATGAGACAGCTTCACTGGTGAATTCTATCAAATATTTAAAGATAAATTAACACCAGTCCTCCTCAAACTCTTCCAAAATATTGACTTGAGGGAATACTTTCTAAGTCATTCCATGGGGCCAGCATTACCGAGGCACCAAAGCCACGATAAGACAAAGGCACCGTGAGAAAATTGCAGATAAATAACCTTTATCAGTACTGATGCAAAAATCCCCAACAAAATAGCAGCTAACCAAATTCAGCAGTATATTAAAAGGAGTATACGCTATGACCAAGTAGGACTTGTTCCTGGAATGCAAAGATGGTTCAACCAAGGAATATCAACCAGTGTAATAACCACATTCACAGGATGAATGAAAAAAACCACATGATCATGTCAACTGATGCAGAAAAAGCATTTGACAAAATTTAGCACCTTTTTATAATAAAGCACTCAACAAACTACTTATAGAAAGAAACTTTCTCACTACATTAAAGGCCATACATAAAAATCTGAAAGCTAACATCACGCTCAATGGTGGTAGCCTGAAAGCTTTCCCCTAAGATCAGGAACAAGGCCGGGGTGCCTGCTCTCACCACTGCTATTCAACACGGTACTGGACGTCCTAATCAGAGCAGTGGGGCAAGAAAAAGAACTAAAAGCCATCAAAATTGGAAAGGAAGAAGTAAAATTTTCCTGGTTTGCAGACTTGACCTTATCTATAGAAAACCCTAAAAAGTCCATAAAAAAAAAAAACTGTTAAAACTAACAAATGAAGTCATAGGATAGAAAACCAACACACGAAAGTCAGTTGTGTTTCTACACTGTATCAATAAACATGCCAAAACAGATATTAAGAAAATAATTCCACTGGGCCGGCCGAGTGGCGCGATG